TGTGTGTGTGTGTGTGTGGGGGGGTGTGTGTGTGTATACCCCAGACAATATATACTGCCAGAGGAATTGAACCAACCATCTTTAGAGCTCACAGCACTGCCAATCAGTCAGTTGTGAGTACCTGTTAAACAGAAGACTGTACATCCTTCTGATAGTTGTGCTTTTGCTGGTACTTCAGACCTTGGAGAAGGTGTAAATTGAAGGTGGAACTGCTCATGCTCTCTTCCAACAATATGCTTACTCACATTCAAATTAATGAAAATGTGATGTTTTTGTTACATATGTTAACAAAATCATACATGGGGTTTTTTTTCCTTTCAAAATTACAGAAAGTTTTGTTATTTCTTTTTAGCTTTAACTTCTCTGCTGTATGTTAACTTTCTTTGTTGCTGGATTAGGTCTGAAGAGAGCACTATTGTTGGTTTTAATTTAGTTCCTCTTTATCAGCTTCTCTTGGATTCATGAGTAATAAACTTGCTCCTTCTTTGAAGGAAATAACTTCAAATGTTTTAAGAATGAGTTTTCATTATCCAACTACTATCAAGTTCAGGCTTGGAAAATTAATCAGCACACTGAATTAAGAAACACAGGCATAGCTAAGGAACAGATAACTCTAACAGAAACTGAAATAGGGAATTTGGGCCAGCTGCTGTTTAGTAATTTAACTTCTATATGTTCTTATGCCAGGATAAATGTAATACGGTGTATTTTGCGTATTGAAAGAATGAGAGAAAGCGTACAGGCAATAAGTTTGGTGTGGTCTGTAAATCCACTCCATGTAGTTACAGAGGCGACATGTTTTATTTTATATTGCTATGATTATCTTAAGTACATGAGACAAGTACTTTACTTGCAACCGCAGTATACTCTTAGATCTCTATTGACAACAGAGTTTCTCAATGTCTTCACTGACCTGGAAGAAACTTCCCTGTGAAATGGCTGGCACATCTTAGCTCTTACATCTTTACTGCTGCTTCCTTTTTGTTTGTTAAAGTTACAGACTTAATTTAACAGTCGGCATATATTTATTACTTTCTGCGGATGTTTGCTTAGTTCTAGCTTCCCTGCTGAGAAAGCTCGTTTTGAACCTATGCCATTCTCTTTTTGACAGACATTTTGATAGCAATTATCTTAGCTAAAGGATGAGGAAGATTCAAGCCTCATTAGGCTCGTTCCTAGTACCCAGCTATTTAAGAACAGTATACTCTTAAATACTTACCAGAGATTTTTTTTTTGGAGAGTTCTGGTTAGGTGAAGACACTAACTTTTTTCACATGTATCTCAGGGTAAGGCTGGCTGTTTACTCTATAGATTTCCTTCCTTTCACTGTAGACCAGCCAAGACCTTCCAAAAAGACGCTGTGTCACTTGACAGAGTAGTCTAAGGACTGGTCATCTCTGTGCAAATGATTTCTGATTATATTACTTAAGGATCTTTTTAAACAGCTTCCAGCATTGCTTTGTCATTAGTAGAATAAGCCTAAGCCCTGTGAGTGGCATTCTTGCATCATGGCTTTGTACCTTTTAGATCTACAGGAGTGCTGTTTGTGTTTCATACAAGTGGTGTGCTACTGCCAGATCCATAGACAGTGGTGCACTTCGAGGATATCAATACAGTTTTATGGGCAGTTTTTCATATAGAGATTCTCTTTCAGGTAATAGTGGTTTGTAGAGAATTACTAGTTGTTCACATATGATGCAAAGGAGCACAGAGACAAGTGCTCAAGATTACATTAGTTTTTCTCTGTCATACCATAGAAACTTGGGATTCCTTGCTGAAAGGAAAGCAGTCTCTCTTTTTAAACACTCCGTGAGTTACCTACAGAGGGAGAGAGTTCGGGGGTAGCAGGGGGGTGCTGAGGGCGGGGGAGTATTTGTATGTTGCTAACAGTACTTGCACATAATTATGCTAACAAATAGAAAGGATAGTTGTAGTTACTCGTTCATACGTGCAAACCAAAGACTAGTCTTTTCTTGAGACGTTTGTCCCTTTGTGAATGAACAAACGCACAAAAGCAATGGTATAGACTATTACTTATGCAAAAACTTCATTTCCCATTAGCTGCTGTTCTTCGGTCCCCCTTGACTCCCATTATTCTGTTTTTCCAGCTTACATATTTTTCCTTTCCTGAAACTGGTGAACAATGTTCAATCTCCAATATTCTTACTTGAAGCAAAGTATCATAATTTTACAGATGGGGAGCACAAACAAGTGAAGAAAAGTGTATTGTTACATCGCAGTTACGGAAATAATAATGTTATACTCTCCTGATTTTAGACTGAGCTTCAAATGTGCTAATTTATGGACAGGTAGCAGTCTGAAGGCAGTGAAATATATATTCTAGCACTAGCTAATTTATCTGTTAGAAGAAACGTATACCCTAGCACAGGTTCATTTATCCATTAGATTGGAGTTTATATATATTGAAATAGTTCTCGTTGTTTTTATTTGCATAAAACATGCTTTCGCACAGTAAAATCACAGGTAATTTCAGAACTTTTAGGTAACCTTTTTCCTTGCAAAAAGCTTGCAACAGAGGTTGAATTTTTTTTCTTGTAAAAATCCTTTAATTGAATCTTTGTTTGATTTTATAATATTACAGGAATTCGCTTTTTAACGCAGAAACATTAAGTGATATTAAAGGAGAACAGGCTATGCAAATAAAAATTGCATGTCTAGGCTTGAATGAGAAATCACTGGAAGAAAATGAAACCAGTATTACTTGACTGCCATTAACAATGATTATGTAAATTATCTTTTTTAATGTCATAGGTGTGTCGTCTGCAAGACCTAGTACGAAAAAGTGAACAAGGCCTTGGTACTGCAGAAGGGCATATCTCCAGTCTTCAAGAAGCTCAAGAAATACTCCAGAAAGAACTAGAATTAACTAGAGCAAGACTGCGAGAGACCACAGATTCACTGTATAGTGTTGAGGTAATGATAATGTTGGAGACTAAGTCATGCAAAGTACAGTCACAGTGATTTTGGTCTTGTTTTTAAAGAGGTAAGAAGTATTACAGTGTACACATTATTGAAGGAGCTTCATATGGCTTCATTAAAAGAGATTTCTCTTAATTTCAAGCAGGGTGGAAAAAAAAAGTGGAAAACTAGGATGGATTGGTTTGGGGTTTTTTTTTGTTTGGTTAGTTGGTTGTTTTTTGGGACGGTTTTTTGTTTGTTTTCAAAAGAACATTTAGTATTTAATGGGTATTGCTGCAAGCACATCTTTCTATGGTTGATTTAAATTGTTGCTGCCAAAATACGTCCGTACAAAATAAAACCAGGGTGGGATTTTTTAGAGGCTTAACAGAATTTTATGAGAACGTAAAGGAGATGTGTCACACCAGTGCTATTCCAGATGGTTTCGTGTCTTGGTGCAAAATAAGATCCAGAGCTTACTAGCTCTACAATTCATTGAAACCTTTTTTTTTTTTTTTTTTTTCTGCTTTGCTTGGTCCCCATCCAATATGCCATGTTTTCCTCAAATAATGGCCACAGTCTTAATTTCAGGCTCAAACTGAGAATTTCAGAAGATGCTTGAGAATGGTTTAAAGATATATGCTATGATATCCTGAAAGACAGCAGACTATTATCCTGAAAATGTGACACCTTTATACAGCTGAAGCAATTAATGTGTCTATGTACAAATATGTTGCTATTTTAGTTGGCTTAGATGGAACTGGAACTGTCAGTTAATCTGTCAATACCTCATTAACTTTAATACTAAGTATAACCTTTCCCTTTTCTTTCCTCAGTAAACAATGTACATTTACAAGATCATCACAATATTTGAAGTACAGCAGCATATATTAAAAAAAAAAAAAATCCCTGAATCTGTTTTCATACTGGGGTTATTTTGTTAAAAAAAACAGCCTAGAACAGGATATTGGTATAATTTTTTTTAAAATGTTTCAGCTATAGTCATTAGATGTGCACCCAGTTAAAGTTTATAACTCCCTCTGTATTTTTTTATAACTTCACTGCATTCTTCTCTCTTCAATTATTATAACATTTAAATGTTCACATATAGTAAGTTACTGGCAATAACATTTATCTTAACATTTTAAAATATATAAATTAACAAAATGTACAGAAAAATGCTCACTTTAAAAAGTCTTAATTTAAAATTTAACAGCCATGTTTGCTTCTCATGAATGAAGCAAGCACTGCTGAAAAATATTCATGTAAGTATGAATTCTAGATAGTACCTAATACTTTTCTAGTATGGTAAAATTTGAGCAGAAATTTATATGAATTCTAAAACTTTTCCTGGGTTCAGACTGAAAGCCTGTTTCTACCAGATTAGTCCAGTCAAAAAACAGAAAAAAGATGTGTGAACTTTGTATCAAATCCAGATAGCACAAGCTTTGAAATGAAGATAATGAATATTTGCTGATTTTAAAAAAAAAATTAAAAAGTCCAAAACATGCTTGACAAGAAGCTAAGCAACCTGCTCTATTTCTGAAGTTAGTCCTGCCCTGAACAGGACTTGATAAACTTTTGAGGTTCTTTCTAACATAAATTATTCTGCCATTCAATGTAACAGTATTTGGAAAGTTTACTTTCAGAATGAAATACTGGAAAATTCCTTTTTGTAGCTTTTTATAGGAACACAGAATCTTGTTCCACAAGTAAGAAATAGCAGCATGTATAGGCGTTAATTGTTTGTAATTAGGAATTACACACTGAAAAAGTTATAGTTCAAGTTTTATAAGCCAATTGTAACTGACATTTTTGTTTTAAATGCATTCATTTAAGATTTGGAATACTTTTTAAAAAATGATCAGTCTCTATTGTGAAGTTTGTGTTTGCAGGGAGAACTAGATCAGGAGAGACAGCAGCACGAGGCAATGATTGTTGCCATGAGAGAAGAGGAAAAGTTCAAAGTTGACAGAATGGCTCGTGACTTGGAAATAAAATGGACAGAAAATCTTCGGCAAGTATTAATTTTTTTCTTTTATTCTTTAAATACGAAATGAAGTATCTATTACATACAAATGTCATAGCAAATAAAATGTGAAACAATGGTTTTGTTATTATCTAGGCTTTTCCAGTTCTTACTGAGTTCTTAATTCTTTTTTCACTTCTTGCACAAGGTCCACTGTATTTTAGTTATTTGACCTTCGCTTTTAGACAGGAATGTAATAAGCTTCGTGAAGAGCTGAGGCTTCAGCATGAAGAGGATAAGAAGGCAGCCATGACTCAGCTGTTGCAGCTGAAAGAACGTGAAAAAAATGCAGCAAGGGATGGATGGCAAAAAAAAGTTGAAGATCTTTTAGACCAGGTAACTATGGTCTCTTTGAGAATTGGAAGGCCATTACAATTTAGTTGCTGGTGGTTTATTACCAGTTAAGTACATGAAATTGGTTGCGATATCTGTCTTTGAAATGAAGTTTGTTAGCATAATGCTTTTTAAACCTAAACATTATCAAGCTTTTTGAGTAATATATGAAGATATCTTAAAATTATATGAATGTTCTTCTATATGCTAAATGGGAATAAAACTTTTCACAGGTTTTTCTGGGGGGGTAATATATCATATATCATATATTTTGAGTAATAAAATTATATGAATGTTCTTCTATATGCTAAATGGGAATAAAACTTTTCACAGGTTTTTCTGGGGGGAATGGGAGGGTGTTGACAGTCTCACTTTTTCGCTAGAAGATTTTTTTTTTTATTGTCTGTCTGCTCACCTATTCCTTTGTGAATATTTACTAATGCTAGTTGTTTGGACTTGGAGGTATCCCTTAACTTTACATAATGACACTGTACAAGTCCCTGTAAAGACAAAATGTTCCTCAGTTTCTACGACACACTTATTATAGATATGTCTTAAGTGATTTTGAGCATTATTTTGGGATTTTTTTTTTCTAAATACACTCACACTTATAAACTCGGTTACGTTAGGTAATTCACAGAAAATACTCACTTTGTACTTTTTCCAAACCATAAATGCTATAGAACTGGTTTTATTGATTACAGTTTGAAAGAATAGCTGATAATGAACAGATATGTTCTAAAGTAAGAGAAACAGATTTCAGAACTCATTAAATGACTGCAATTTCAGGGTTATCCTGGGACAGCTTTTAATTTGCTACCTAATTTGAAAAGTCTAATACTGAACATGCACTTGGTTATACAGCTTCTTATAGGAACACATAATGTATTTTGCTGACAAGGAAATTTAAGCTTGTAAAATCTTGTGGCTTAGGCTCATAAAACCTGGAGGTTTTCAAATTTCTTGGTCTGTTACTTTTTACAACATGAATGTAATAATACTTGGACTCTTCTGATTTTAAGTTTCACTTACTGCCTTTACCCAAGCTTCATTTACTCTCTTTACTTCTACCTATAAAGAGCATTTTTTTCTAGGAAAGTACAATTTGAAAGGGATATGTTAAACTTTCCGTAATTTTAACATACTTTTAAAATATTTTACATCTCTGCCTTTTAAAAATACCATAATAAATCTAACCTACATTTTCAGAATGGAAAACTGGTATGTCACAAGTGAATAATTTTTTTCTGCATATGGAAGAAATTTTGGAATCAGAAATTTGGAAGCTAACTGTAATAATGAGAATTTTACTAGAGAATTTGCAGACATAGGAAACACAGATGCATTTGGTTGGGTGGGGTTTTTTTCTTCATTCCTTTTACTGTACCAAAGAGCTGCACCATTTCATAACAGCATGTGTATTCAGAGAACTACTGAGAAAATAAACCATGGGAGTCTCACTCTTTTTTTTTTTATCCAGCTGTTACTTTTCCATACCAGTGTTTGAGATGGATAGGAATTTCATAAAAACGTTGTTGGTGGTGGCAGGGAATTAAGCTTTCTCTCTGTAAGAGTCTGAATTTTATCCATTACACCTGGAGGGGAGAGAATTCCAGACCATAGCATTCAAGATGGGTAACCTCACTCCTAAAGAAATGGGTTTGTAGTAAGTTTCTCCTGATTGCAGGCAACAAAGGGTGGCCTCTGAGAGTTGCACTGTGCTGAATCATAGATTTACTTAGGGTGGAAGAGACCTCAGGAGGTCATCTGCTCAAATCTGTCAACACTGAGTTTGAACCAGGTTCCTTAGGGCTTTGTCCAGTCAGGTCTTGAATAAACTCCAAGGATGAAGATTCCACAGCCTCTCTGCATAATCTCTTTTAGTGCTTAATTATCCTTGTAGTGCATTTCTTGTTTGTATTTAGACAGAACCTCCTCTGTTTCAGTTTATGATCATTGTCTCTCATTATCCTGTTATGCGCTGCTGTAGCGAGGCTGGGTCCACCTTCTTTGTAACCACTTCAAAGGTACTGGAAAGCTATTAGGTCCAACAAAGCTTTATTCTCTTTAGACTGAACATAGTTCCTTCAGCAGCATATATGCTCTAATCCCAGCCATCTTGGTGATAGCTCTCCACCAAACGTGTTCAAGTTCTCGACGTTTGTCTTGTACACTGGCAACCAAAGCTGAATAACTGGAGGAGACAGAATGTGCCCTCCAGGTGATGTGCAGCAATTTCCAAGTCAAAGGGACTGATCCCTTCCCTTGAACTACTTGTTGCTACAGCCCAGTATGCTGCTGGCATTCATTGCTGCCAGGCCACACTGCTGATTCGTGTTTAGCCTACCATTAACTAGGTTATGTGAAGCAGACCTGTTAACCCACTGTGAAGGAGGACAGGGCTTTAGTCCATCCCCATGTAAGGGACTGTGCATTTGTCCTTGTTGAATTTTGTCAGGTTCCTATCAACCCATAGCTATAACCTACATAGGTCCCTCTGGATGGTAGTTCTGCCTTTTAATGTATTGTGGACACGATTCCACTGTGCTGCACTCCACCTTCTACTCCTCCCAGTTTGTTGTGATCCACAAACTCAGTGAGGGTACTGTCTCTCTCCTTCAGATTATTGATAAAAATACTAAAATTAATAGGTACTGGAAGAGATGCCTACTTGCAGCAAGCTTTCAGCGAGAGCGAACCATTAAGCGCTGCCCTTTCAGCCTGATAATCCTGCCAGTTCTTATCCATCTGGTAGCCCTCCCATCTACATTGTGATACAATCTCATATAAGGATATTAAAAATAACACTGAAGCTGAGGTCACAAACATGCACTGCTTTCCCCTCATCTACATATTTAGTCGTTTCATCACAGAAGAAAAAAGATAGTATTTTCATTATGGAAGAGAATAGAAGATTTGTGGTATCTGTTTCAAAGATTATTATAGACTTTGGTTGTATTAATCTAGAATGATGATATTCTGAGTGAAAACTGCGTTGGGCCCAGTTTGACACTACAGGAACTACTGTGATAAGCTTTTCTGTGCTCAGCAATCTGTAAATGTGCAATAAACATCTTTACCCTGAGGGTTCACAGCGAGATTCTTCTGTTCTTACAGGTATATATATGCACACACACACTAAAAAAAGTAAACAGCATTGGGAAGAATTCAAATTTCAGTTCATCAAAAGGATACTGTTCATACCTATCTTCTTTCAATGACACTGACCTAGAACAGCCAGAGATACTGCAGTAGGGGTGTAAAGTTGTGAATTTGTTATACCCAGCCCCAGTCTTCATTAGTGGGAAGATGCATTAAAAACCCATTTGAAAGGCATGCAATCTGTGTAAGAATTAGGAAGATAGCAGAGATCCAACTCCTTTTTCTGCGTTTCCGATTTCTATAGCTGAAGCATTGATCTGGTCTATACCAGCAGCACTATACAATGATTTATCAAAATAAGACAAGAGTGAGGTCTCTGCTAAATCATTTGTAAACTCCTAACTTGGCATAAAATGTGGTTACGTGTGCTCTTTATGTTAAGAAAGTGTCTAGAGCATCACCATTTAGATGTATAAATGCTGTTCAGAAAGGTTGAATGCAGAAATTAAATGGTCATCAGTATGTCGCAGTATAAGGCATCCCAGAAAGATGTAATGAACATGAATTATTTTTTTTGGGGGGGGGGGGGGGAAAATTAAGAAATTATTTCTAGATGAAAGTGAGATCATGTATATTTCATAGATGTAATTTAAATTTAAATGACTAAAGTATTATTGTTGGCAAGTTTATAAGTGTCATGTCCTCATGTCCAGTGCAAAATAGTGATAATAACATGGTTTTTTTAATATGGAAAACACTGTGTTGCTTCATAAGTTTGTCATATACTTTCACTCCTATGGATACATAATTTTCTAATATGTATCAGTGTATTTCAGACTTGATTTAAAAACAAGCTACAAAGAAATATAGGAATGGTTATGTAGCCAAAGTGTTGAAAAAACAGACTTAAATTAATGGAAACAAGTAACACAGTACAGTTACTTAAGCTGTAGAAAAATACAACATAAGAGTATGCCCATCTTGGAATACTGCTGACTGGTGCCAGAAAAACTGAATGGAGAGGTATAAATGGCAACAATTAAAAAAATGGAATTAAAAAAGCACTAAGCTGGGGTTATTTAAAATTATGTTTTACTAACTTACAAATTTCTGCCTTCTACTAGTTGTTGCATATTTGATAGGTGAGATCTAGCTCTTGCGTAAAGCAAGGTAATATTTTTACTTCTATACCAGTAATGCTAAGTGGTCCCTCATAAAATGTACGTAGGATTATTGTTATTCAAACAGTATGGCTTTGTTATGAGTTAAATAATTATCTTGAGAGAAAAATGCTGTTCAGCTGATTAAGTGCTTAAATACATTCTTGCTGGTTGCAAAGCATCATTTACCATCTACAGTTAAATGTGGTTGGTATGTTAACCAGATCAGTGTCTAGAGACCAGGTGTGTAGCTCTTATCTGATATGAGAAGTGGTTCTAGAAGACATATAAAGTGCTTCTACTTTTTTTTTTCCTGTAAATTGTACTAAGTACTTCTACAGCAATCCACATGAGAATTTCTTCATGAAATATGTAGTGAATTCACATGTGCTAGCTCTTTTCCATTTCTCTTAGCTGTGTAATGGACTTTTAACGCTTTTCTTAAAAACATTTTACTGCTGAGAAGGCTTCAGCCATGGATGAAATAGCAGAAATTTTCTGTTTTAAAGCATGAGTGTGTTCTCTCTTCTGCCTCTCGGTGTTGCGCAGCCTTCAATTCTGAGCACTGAAACATCCAGGTTCTGTACAGACCTGTATTATTCTTATCTATTTCTTCTTGCAATAAATATTCTTTCTGTAAGCTGAATGAAGTATTTTGATTCTGGATGGGCTTTTCTGTATTTCAGCAAATATTGATTCTCCCATCTTCCTTATTTTTCAGTAAGATGTGTTCCAGTTAAA